TAATAGAATATCAAGCTTTTAGCCCGATAATTTGGCACTTTGTTTGGCTTTAATAATCAGGTTTATGAAGAAAAATTACTCGCAGACTTTGTACTTGTTTGTATCCTTGCCCAATTTGCACAACCTGGCATTATGCAGTTATCGAATGGTTAAAAATTTAGACAGCATAAGTGCAATTATTTCATATATTACAGGTACTGACAAGTAAAGAATTTTCAGAGTCCTGCCACAAATAAGTTACATATTGATTATTGACCATTTGTGACGTGACATGACATAACAAGCAAAAATTTAAAAAACTAATAAGTAGGTTTAAATTTAATAAATACAAATGTATTCTGACAGTTTGAGTTATAGTAGTACCTCAGGATATGAATGCTTGAGTATACAAAATTTTCAGGATACGACGTGAAATTCGAACATATTTTTGCTCCATGGTACGAACAAAAACTCGCCATACGACGTTACATTAGTTTGCAGTGCCACCGCCACGATCACACGTTTCTTCTGTTCATTGGTCTCAATCCACGTGTTTGCTTTGTCGTGGAAGGATCTCGCTCAATAAAGGAAATCTTGAGGCATTATCAGAAAGTGACTGATTTTATTGAAAAGAAACATCCCAAAAAGGTTCACACTGGCAGTATTGCTGCTCAGTTTAATGACGTTTGCCTAAGTCATTTTAGAAACATTTTAAAAAGTAGGCAAAGCCAAACTTTTTTGAATAGATATTTTACCAAGTGACCTCTATCCAGAGAAAGTAAAGGAAAGAAAGCAAAAAACAGTGAATAAAAAATTTAAAAAAATATATAAAACAGAAAAGACAAAAAAATTAGTGTTAAGTTATTTTTAAGTTGTAAATACATTATGTTATGTAAGTTAAGTTTTAGTATTATTTCCCTTCTCCCTCTCCTCCGCCACCAGTTTACACCTCCACCGTCATCTCTCCTCAAAGGTAAAATGCAAAAGGTATGAAATGCATTTTTCAGTGCTTTCCTTACTAAAGTTATTTTTTTTCAGTTATGATATTACTATTTAGTTTTGAGTGTGTTTTTTCGTGTTGGAACAGATTATTTGGTTTTACATGTAATCATATGGGGAAAAATGATTCACCTTAGGACATTTTCATGATATGATCTCAGTTTAGGAACGGATTAATTTCGTATCCTGAGGTACTACTATAATTATACTTTCTGTTTGCAAAATTTCCTCAACCTTAATGTAAAATAAGAAAAAAGTGAACTTTTAAGAAATTTGCAGGATTTTCCAGGATATTTCCCAGGTTAAAAAAACAACCGGGATCCCATTTGAGAAACCCTATTGTTATGCATAGAATGTAATGTCAAATGAACTGCCAGACTATTAAGCAGACTAAAACAAGGATAATTTAATGGTTAGACATAATTGTATTCATATCTGCAAATGATCATATCTATAGAAATAAAACATACTTGTTAAGATAAAGAAGATAGTTGTTCATTTATTTAATCAAAAATTAAACAAATTCTAAACACTGGAATTTATTGATATTAATGATAATGACTGACTGATAGCATTAAGCAGGCTAAGTAAATAAAACTACAATTCTTTTTTATCTCTGTATGGAGCATTAATTCATCTTAGACATGTTTCCAGCTTATAATAAAACTAGCAGGTAAGCCTGGCATTGCCCAGGCAAAAAATAAGAACAAACATTAAGATTATTAGATTAGAAACTTCAAACTAGGAAGTGTTAAAGAGAATTAAAGGAATAATTTAATCTTGCTAGCGCTTTCAATGTAAATATATAATAAACACATACAGATATAACTGTACCATATACAAAGGTAATTTTTAATATATATCTAACACAGTATTATTAATATTAGAATTTTAGAAATTAAAGAATTTTAAAGAATTTTTGTTCAATTACTGCTGGAATTAGTATTTAGGTGTGAATTTTTATGTTTAGTATATAGTTCCAGTTTACTTGTGCTAGTTTTTTTGTCTGTAAATATATACCTGGTCCTCAGGCAATTTGAAACAGGAAAGAGAATTTGAAGGGAACATTTAAATTTAAGCTTTAACGATATTATCCGTTTTGGAACATAACTATTAAAGCAAATAAGTTTTAAATTTTAGAATTAATTTTAGAAAACTTATTTGCTTTAATAGTTACAGTATGTTCCAAAATGGATAATATTGTTAAAGCTTAAATTTAAATGTTCCCTTTGAATTCTCTTTCCTGTTTCAAATTGCCTGAGGACGATGTATATATTTACGTTGAAAGCGTTAGTGAGATTAAATTATTTCTTTAATTCTCTTTAACGTCTCCTAGTTTAAACTTTCTAATTGAATTAACACAACTGTTGGCATGACATCCAATCCAAGTATTTAAGATTATTAGATTATTTCATACTTCTAATCCTTTTGTTATACAGTAAGATCCAGCTTAACACTGCCTTGATTAATGCTGATTTGATATAATATGGTCTACTCGAAGCCTAGAAAAAGTTCAAAATTTATGCGTTGTTTGAGCGATCGTTTTGTAGATCCGACATATATGAGGTCTCTGACAAATCTGTTATCTCTTAGCACCATATATCAAGAAATTGGAGACTTACACCAATGCAAAAAATAGCCTACAGACATAAGCCAGATACATTCAGCATGCTAAGAAATGAGAAAGATAGGACGGAAAGGGAAAGAACACCAGGAGTATATAAAATTCCGCTAATATAAACCAACTGTGAAATCTGGAGGCATTAGAAATTTTTAAAGCGGACTGCAAAGGCCTGTCAATCAATTTTAAAGAAGGAAAACAACTATCAAGAGCATGGCAGGCTATTTATAATGTGACACTATAACTGCCAGTGCTGGCACATGTCGTTTAGAGATTTAAATTTTGAAATTTTAAAAAATAAATTTTCAAAGATAGAAGCATTAGAGATTGGAACATTTAAAAATCTGAATCAAACTCATATTGCACCAGAAAAATTTATAGAACACCTGAAGAAGACCCTAGAAATGGGTTGAAAATGTTAGTGTTACATTCTAAATATTATCTGCAAAGCTATACAAGGTTAGTGCGATGTATTTATATTTATTATTGCTTTGTTTGTTGGATGGATTTGATTGAATGAAACACTGATTCATTTTTATAATCTACAGTAAAACCTGTGTAAACTGGAATTGCACAGTACTGAGTATGTTTTCTGGTTTGGCAAGTTACTATTTTGAGCAGGTTTCTTTTTACCATAAAAAATTCCACTGTTTAAATAATTTGTTTCACTTAGGCAAGTTTCTGCTTTTCACAGGTTGTACTGTTTATATTAATTGATAGTGTTTCAGTTTATCCGACATAGTTTTAGTAAATGACTGGAGCTAAAAATAGAGTTCAAGTATCTAATTAAAGCTCTTACCTTGTGGATGATGCCACTGAATAGAGATTTGAGAAAGGTGCAATGGTTTGGACATGGTGGAGTGGCAAAGATACAATATTAAGTATTAAGTCTATGAGACAGACGTGTCAAGCACCCACACACCATATAACAATTAAGTTGTTTTAACTGTTCCTGCTTTATTTGCTAATTTCTAACATTAATACATTTAAATAAAATAAAGAGTTGCTTTTATTTTTACATGGATTTAACATTAAGTGTTGATAATAGTGTTGTCATTATTGAACATTATTGACTATTATGAACAAGTTAATGGGAATGAACTTTATCTTGAATAAATTTGTAATTTGGGAAATGCAAGAAGGCAGCTAGTTGCATAGGTCTGATGTTGCTTGGGCTTTTGAGAAGATGGGGAATCTGTGAAGTAGGGTTGGGAAAGGGTGATAAAATCAATGGTCTTAGTAACTAGAATGCACACTTTTTGACCTAAGTATGTATAATAATGAAACTACAAAACACAAAAAAATTTCTATGGCCATTATCTGGGAGTGGGCTTTTTAGGTATTATGGGATTGTAGACCTCAGTGTTTTTTTCTACGGTTTTGAAATTTCCACCAAATTTGATGTGTATATGTTAAATGGCATAGAATCTTTGCCCAACAAACATACAAAGTTAAGAGGGGGTGGGTTTAGGGGTGGTTGGGCTACCACCATTCAAGTTAACATTAAAGATTGGAGTTGTAGTCATGCTCATGAGGAACATTGGCAATAAATAAGTGTTGGTAAATGGAACAAGAATAGTTATACATTTTACATTTAATAACACAAACATCGAGATCCTGATGGACAAATACTACAGAAGCATTTAACATTTCTTCAGATACCAAGTGATAGCACTTTTCCTTTCACAGTTAAACAATTTAAGTTTTCCATCATTCTGACATTCACCGTGACAATGAACAAAATTCAAGGACAGACACTCAGTAAAGTTGCTATTTATTTACCAGAGTTGGTTTTTAGTCATGATATGCTTTGTGGCCCTTTCCTGATTTAGATAGGCAAAGTGTTTTATACCATTCAACATATCCTCACCAAAATTGTCATGAATATTATTTTAACACTATAGAAAAAATATTGTTGGGTCCCCTCTCCTAACTATCTCTAATGCCCACTCTCTCTTAATTTTAGCCAGAGCATTTTTTGTGTTTTGCAGTTTCATTATTCTAAATACTCAGGTCAACAAATGTACATTTTAGTTACTGAGATCATTGTTTTTATCACCCTCTCCCAACCCAATATCACCAATTCCCCATCTGGTCAATAAATAAACTTTTGCAAAAAGGCGTTAAATACATTTAAAGTAATGTTTTATTGCTGCTAGTGCTTTTGACATATTATAATGACATATTAACGTTTTTTTGTGAAAATTTCTTTATTATTTTAGTAAAAAGATTGGCATGACATCCAATCTTTGAGTTTGATTAATGCCCCAGCAACACCACTTAGGCTATATACAAGGCCTACATAAGGTTGGTANAAGAAGAGATAGCCCTTTTGACGGTATGGCAGTTCTTGCTGGACGATATCGTTTAAAAGTTTACGTCGCAAGTACTGTGGCGCGCGTGTGCCGCACGCAAAACGTCGCTCTTTTCTTTTTTGTTTTAAATTGGTTCGAAGGTCACCGCGTGCGATGATTCGAAAAGTAAACGAATCGAAAGAAAGTGGTCGAATTTAGACGTCCGGCTCGGTATTTATCGAAAAACCCCGAGGAAGAGCTTGGAAGGGGCGTCGAAAACGTTAGCAGAAGTATTATACGTACACTCCGGTTATGAGGTTGTAAGTAAGAGTTATTTTTAGTACATTCCGGTGTATGGAGAAGAATAAATTGTTTAATAAATTAAAAATGATCAAATTTTGATTAAAAAAAAGATCTTTCGTATATTTATACATTGAAATACACATTGTAATCACTTCGAGACTCATCTATACAGTTAAAAGTACTAACTGATAACATTAAATAGGTAAGTACTGTACAGTGAGTAAGACTACAATTAGTGGAAATTCCTGTTTTATTTAATTGACATTAAAAGGACATATTAAAACAATTAAAATATGTACAGCTTAAAGATTTATTATTATTAATTAATAGTAATTCATCAGTTTGTAGTTGATGTAATAAATATTACTACTTCAGATTACTATACTGTGAGCAAATAACGATTAAAACAAAGATTAATGTTTAAAATACTGGTTAACAAAATTATTATAAGATTTATAACAATTTGCTTTTGATGCATGATGAGACTGATAATGCGAAAATACAACTTAAAAATGTCTTATTTAGCTGAAGATAATTAAATCTAAAACTAATTCTGGTTACAATAAGCAAAGTTTTACAAATGTATTTTAATTTGTTTTGAGAGATACTAATTCTGACAACAAAATCTGTGGTTATAAGTGGTGTATACTTTGTAGTGCAAAATTTTTCAGCTTTTCATGGTTTCACTATTAATCTGATATACTGTGTTGTAACACATTCTAGTCCCTTTGAAACATATCAATTTCCTCAGACGATGTTAAAACATTAGAAAATATCTTTTATCAGTTAATCTATGATTTTAGCTTGATAAGTGATAGTTAATCAGTTCAAAACCAAATATTTTATTAGTAAGACAATTGAACTTTGTAATGTTTAGACAACATTCCAAACTTCAATTGCCTTCCTACTAAATATTTACTGTTTACATTCAACTACTCAAAACTGGTAAACATTAATAAACAAAATGCATGAAACCAATCATCAGTAAGATTTTACAAGAAAGCAAACATTTTCAATCATGTATGGTCAACAACCAATACAACTACAAGATGGTGGCCATTAGAGCACTTATTAGAAGAGCCCACCCTAATATGAAAAATATAGCAAACAAATCACTAGGCACTAGAAATATTTAAGGCAGATCTCCAGAGACCTGTCCATCAATTTTAAGGAAGAAAAACAGATCCCAAGAGCATTGCAACCCATCATTGTAATAGGCAATGAATAAACTACAAATAGACACACACTATTGGATATTTAGAAAAAATTTAAAGAGGAAAACATCTGAATTTGAATACATCAGTTTCTTCTACCAATCTAATCTAGAACACTAGTACCAGAAAGATTTGATTTTAGAAAAATCTACCTGAAGAAGGTCTTAGGTGTAGACAGAAAATGTTAGTAACAAAGTTACTAATGTATATGTAAGTAACTAACATTTTCAGTCTAACATTATTTACTTAGGCTATATACAAGGCCTACATAAGGTTGGTAAACTTTATTTTGATTTATGCCTTGTTATTAGAAGATTAATTTATTTATTCTTATTCAAAATAGCATTTTGTGATTTATTATTGTTGGTTATAATTTCTTCAGTATTTTAATGTTATTTAATTAACTGCTTATGTATTTTGGGTACTTTTTTGTTAATGGGATGCCAGCCTATATGGTAAGATTCAAGCTCTGAGAGGTTTTGCACCACCCCCAGAATTGTTGACCCTTTACAAGTATTTGCCTCAAAAGATCAGTTTTTAACATGCATTAGTATCCTGTCTATTCTATGTAGTTGTGCACTTCAGTGCTCACTATTACTTGCACCTCAGTGCCAGGGTGGGGCGATCCCCACACTCCCCAAAACTATATGATATGTAGCACTCCACAAACAATCAGATGGACTACTTGAAGCTGGCACAGTTGCATGGGATAAATAGTTAATTGTGATACTCTTAGCGGAACAACATGTACGACGGTATCGCGCATTAGATTAAAGTTGCAACTGGCATCCCGTTAACAGAAAAGAACTGTATTTTGTAACTGCATGTGCCTACATGTATTCTAGAATTTGTTTATATTTATTCAAGCTATAGAACCTGAAGATGGCTGTTTACACAACTAAAGTTATCTGTTAGTTTGGATATTGTCTAGTATCTAATTGAGAGATCAAACCAAATATTGGATAATTTCATCCAAAAAATGTAATGTGATATAATGTGATGAGAACATTCTACCTGGAAATGTTTAACATTAATTAATAAGACAACCTTGTTTTTCTTACCCATATATTTAATATGACAAATGTTTTTGGACAGATTCACAGCCCAATTTCAGGCCCATGTTCCTTACTACATACAGATACATTTTATTTTTTTAGAATGTAATATGTGATATGTGAGGGGTCAATAGTCTAGTTATGTTTGGTCCTTCTATTGACTTTTCAAGGATGATCATAATATGATTTCCATGCAGTGGAAGTAAATTGCAGTTTCTACAATTGATACAATTTTTTTATGGTCTTAAAATTTTTCAGAACTTCCAATAATTTTGTATCTTCTCTATATAAACTCTGTTTTATCAACTTTGCTTCATCAAATTCAGCTGCAGTCAGGCCGCCTCTAGGAACTGCAGGGCATGGGTCAATCATAAAGTGTGGGGCCCTTCAAAAATATACTTTATATAATATTTACTATGATTTTATTCAAAAGAATAAGTGAATTTAAAATAAAAAAAAAAATTTTAAAAAAAATATTTATTTTTTAAAAAAAAAATTTTTTTATATAATAAAAATTTTTTTATTTTTCTATTTTAGAACTTTAAACAGAAATGTTTCAGAAATATAAAAGCAAACTGTATTGTAAGTATTTCATTTTTGATTTTATAGTAGAACAATAGAGTAGTGTAATTAAAGCTAGAAAAATACTGAAATAAAAGTATTTCAATTACAATTATGGATATCTGTTTTATAACATGGTAGTTAGGTTCTGAAAACGTACTGTTATGAAAATCCCATGCTACACAAAACAAAGGACTAGAACAAAACATTGGTTTAGGTTCCAAACATTAGCAATACTACACAATTCTTTTATTCAATTAAGAGAAATATGTTTATTAAAGTAATCAATAATTAACTAACAATTTCAGTTAAAAGTATTGCATGTTAATATTAATTTTTTCTTCACTGTTAAACACTATTAAACAAGGACATTTTCTTTTTGGCAAAATTTTGTTGTCATCTGAGCTTTTCTATTAATCTTAATCTAAATTATTGACAACAACTTGGTTTTTCTCTGTTTTTTCATAAAATCTGATATTTTCGTTCTCCAAACAAATTATCCTGCATCATCACCATATCCAATGCATAGTCTATATAACTTGTCTGAAAAAATAACCTTTTTTATAGTCTTCTATGGTCTAATTCTAGTACTGTCTTGGTCATTTTAAATGATTGCTTTTTTGTTTCTTAATCAGAAAGGGCTTGTTTTGGCTTTGCAAATGAAAATCCCATGTCATTCAGTGTATTTGTTATTGTTCTGTCACAAACATTTGTTTTATTTATATTTCATTTTGCATTTAATTGTTTGGAAGATATTTTTTTGATTTTTTTAAACATTTTTTTAAATAGATAATCTTGAGCCTTGCTAGGTTTTAGGACAATCAATCTCTTCTGACATGATTTTTTGTCTCTTGTGTCTAAACTTTTACCAACTGTAATTTAGTTCCTAATGTTACACCAACTCATACTGCTCTGTGATTTTTTCCATCTTGTAGTAGCTTTATAATTTGTTTTCTCATATCATTAACAAATTTTGAAGCCATTGTTTATGCAAAGACAGGTAAAATATTGTAAGTTTTTATTTTTTTCAACACAAAGTTGAGTTAACATCAATCCAATACATGCAGTGTTCAGAGGGTATTCAAATATTACAATGCATTAGGTTCCAGTTACAATCAGACATGTCATCTTTTTTCAACAATTACATATTAGTCTAATCTGCAAATTTTCTTACATGACAATCCTACTGTCAGTAGACAATCAAAGATACATGGGAGAGAAGGCATTAATACAGGAGAAGTTCCTCAAATTTTTGTGTTGTGTAATTACTGTTTTCTCCTGGTCATCTCATTGGATCAGAGTCTGTTATCTTTCATAATTTTTCTCTTGCACAGTCCTATTGTCTCTGGTAGCCTTTGTGTTCTACCTGTAATCGCACCAAAAAGTAAGAGAATTGCTTTCTCAACTGAGTCAATAAATACCCTCTCCTGCTCCCCCCGCTGGGTTTATTGCCCTTCCATGCAATAACGGATGATGAAACATTCTAGAAGTTATAAACAAAGGACACACTTCTTAAAGCTATGGTTTCTTCCATTCAAATTAGAAGGCTCAAATCTGTAAATTTAAAACAGTATTCTAATACTGTTTTCCAACATCCTGTATGTACAAAAACTTTTTTCCAATACTGCTATATGTAAAAATTTTTCTTTTAAAAAAATGGCTTGGTTTATTTATTTGAAATTAAAGTGATTAACACACTATAACACAGTGAATAAAATGTATATTTTTGTTTTGAATGTTACATTTTTATTTTTTAAGCGATTTTAATTTCTTACATCATACTCAATACTTTTGTCAAGAGAGTTGTATTTGAAATAAGAATTGAAATACTTTTATTTGAAGAACTGTTCAGCTTTGACATTGGGTACATATGTAAAGTCAAACCAGTTAAACACGTTAGTAACAAATCATTCAAATAATAGTAGTCTCGCTCAGTGCACATGCTCTGCGGTGATGATGTTTTGAATGAAACTCTAACAAAGTTCACGAAGGAAAGAGTTAGTTCATTTCATTAAGAAAATGGCACCCGATGATATCGATGTTTCTAAATCTACTTGAGTGTTTAAACTGGAATTAAAAGGTGAAATGATAGAAATAACTGTCCACCCGAAGCAATCTAAGAAAAATATTTTGGTTAAGGCTGCACTAGTAACATTCATATCTTCGATTTTAGAAACAGACATTTAGTTATGCACGTATCATTCGAAAAGCCTAACGAAATAAGAATAATGATGTTATTCTCATTTAACTTGTTTGACTTTACCAGCATACCCTATATACAGGGTGTCCCAACGAAAACGAAACGGCAGAGATATCGCGTTCGTCCAAGCAAATCACTTGAACAGGTCGATTTTATTCTCAAGGGGGACATTTTCTGCAATGAAGTTTTTGCGATTCTGAATACAACAGACAACAAAATTTTTAAAAACTTATTCATTTTTTATTAACTAAACAAACATTTATTTCAAAAAAAGTAACACAAACTATTAAAAAACATAAAAAAAAACGTTTAAGCTAAAGCTCTCCAAGACTCCGCAGATGGCGTGATGTCTTTTAACCAATGAGCGGTCGAGTCTTCAGATGATGTCCGAGTAGCGTTCCTATGGCGACCAACATCGTCTGTCGAACGACTAAAAGCGCGGGAAAACGAGTGTGCCAGACGATTTTTATCCCGACAAAACAAATAATAATCTTAAATTCGAATTGAATCACTATATGGTCAAGCTTAATGTGAACACTACAAAATACTGTATTATAACATTTGGAAACAGATAACACATTATCAAGTTTAATTTTATGATCAACTTATTTTTCCTTGCATATGCGGTCTAGCTTAAAAGGTTTTTTTATGTTTTTTAATAGTTTGTGTTACTTTTTTTGAAATAAATGTTTGTTTAGTTAATAAAAAAATGAATAAGTTTTTAAAAATTTTGTTGTCTGTTGTATTCAGAATCGCAAAAACTTCATTGCAGAAAATGTCCCCCTTGAGAATAAAATCNTTTTTTTTGTAGGGTTAATTTGTATTTGGTGGAGTTTTCAGTATTTCAGTACCTTTTGTTCCAGTCAGGAAACTGCTAAACATGGTAAGATTTTTATTTTTCATTTTAAATTATAAAATAAAAGTAGTATCAACTGTTTTAGAACTAAGATGCCACAAAATTTCTATAAATTGAATTTGTATAATTCAGCTGTATGTGTAGTTCCAGTTTTACATGTATAGAATCAGATAAAAATTGAAAGATTTTATTTACAGTATTAAAATACTTTTCCATGAAAAGTCAGTTAAAGTTTTTTTATTTTGATTTCTAGATATATATGTATATTAAAATGAACATGTTAATAACAACAAACATTAAAATAAAAACCATAGACTTCTTAATGTAGAAGACGTGGTTGCTGTATCTTCAAATTCTGTGTGTAGCGTCTTTGTAATCCAAATGTTAATTTTGGTAGATGATCAAACAGCAATTAGTTAGGAAAACGTTACAGTTTATTTAAAAGAACNATTAAAATAAAAACCATAGACTTCTTAATGTAGAAGACGTGGTTGCTGTATCTTCAAATTCTGTGTGTAGCGTCTTTGTAATCCAAATGTTAATTTTGGTAGATGATCAAACAGCAATTAGTTAGGAAAACGTTACAGTTTATTTAAAAGAACACTTTTTTAAAAAATTCAGATGCATTTCGGGTTGGCTTGTATTCCTAATCCCTCTTCAGTGCTGTTAAAATTGCAAAAACAAGGTGAGTTTCATGACATTGGTAAGTGGGATTTAACATAAACGCGGGGTTGACAATAACAAAAAAACCTTACATGTTATATAATGGTACAGTATAGATATGCGTGACAATACCTTTATTACATAGTTGTATGACTATTTCCTATAATATGAAAAAAGTAATGGGCGTGGTTAACACATCATTTACGTGAAGAATATATATAACATAGATTATTAATTTTAAAATATCTATAAACACTTACATTTTTAGTTAAAATGTATTATTCTTGATAAGAAATGGAACAGAATACAAATTGACAATGGGTGTTATCTGGTGTTCACTGAGTAACAGTATACTGGCAAGTGATGTTATTTAAACCATTCCTAACATTCTGTACAAGGGGGTGTGTTTCAAACAATATTTAACGCGTGGAGGTGCTCTCTATTAGTTTATACCATTGGTGGTCTATTGACATGCCCTTTGAAATATTAATTAAGTTATCTTTAGGGTGTTTTTTGATTTCTATGTGTTTTTTAAATTTCCTTTTATATGGGTCTTTTTCTAAATGTAACACTTTTATATTGTTTTTATTAATTTGGCAATTATTGTCACTTGTGTGATAGTACCAGGGGGAAGTGTTATGTTTAAGGCGGGTAGCAGCTTCATGTTCTTTAATTCTGGTTTCTAGTAACCGGCCTGTTTCACCGATGTAAGTTTTTGGATTTTGACAGTTGCATTCAAGTTTTTAAATAGTTCCTACAGATTTTAGAATGTTAGGTTTGTTGTTATGTTGTTTATTAATGTCATAATGGATACTATGAGATATTTTGTTGGTTAAAGATGGTGCCAAACTGATATTGTCTTTTTTTAGGATCTTATTACAGCCCTTGAAAATGTTTTTGATATATGGGAAGGGTTTTGTATTTTTTGTTTAATTTATATTTTGTATTAAATCTATTTTTCCAGTATTGTTTTTGCCATGTGCTTAATTTCGATTTGGGGTAGTCGTTAAGTAAAAATTTAGCTTTTAGCTCCTTCATTTTAATTTTTTGCCATTTTTTATCTGTTATTCTTGTATATAAGTTTTTTAACTCCATGATATAAATATTCTTTTTTATATATTCTGGGACATATGAATAGTAGTTAATAGTTTTATTAACATTACATGGTTTTTTGTATGTTACGAAAGAAAAATTATTAAGTGTATTCATGATTGCAATCATGAATGCACTTAATAATTTTTCTTTCCTGAAAACTTTTATTTCATTTGCTCAAGCTATGTCAAAATGTATAAAGAACAAGCAGACTAACAAATTATCTTCTTTATAACTGAGATATACAGGGTGGTTATAATTAAAGTTATGCTACTCAGACCTGTCTAGAGCCTGTTCTCGTGGATGTATTTTGATGAAACTTGGTACATGTTATATGGACCATGGGGGAAAAGGAAAATGCAAAAAAATATTTAGTTTGAATTTTTACCACTAGGTGAAAAATTGGCACATGAACAAGAAACACATAATAGAAATACGCAAAAGGTTTTTATTCACAATATTTGTCCAATGTGCAATCCATTTGCATCAATTACATGTTCAAAACGCCTTTTAATGCTGTAAGGCGTTTTGAACACGTGACTTTGCATTTTCCTTTCTTCCATGGTCCATATAACATATATACCAAGTTTCATCAAAATACATCCACGAGAACGGGCTCTAGACCAGTCTGAGTAGCGCAACTTTAATTATAACCATCCTGTATTGAAAATTTAGAATTTTGTAAAGACTTTTGACTTTTGTGGATTGTATTGTGTTTGAAGCAAATGATGATTGATGTTTTTGTTAAATTTCTGTTTTGTGTGAATTAAGTCATCTGCTTATCTCTTCATATCTACACAATATAAAACTAACAACATCCATTTTTCTAATATTTATTTATAGTTCATATCTATTTTGAATATTGCATTGTGTTTTTGTTATCTTCCTATTTTTACATTTTTCATTAAGATTGATTTTATTTCAATGATCATGAGCTAGCTACTGATAATTTTTTGTCTTAAATGAACTGAATATCTATTGTTCATCAGTATTTATAAAATCTGTTGTTACACAAGAGTCTAGGAAAGTAAATTTCAATTACACCTAGCAGCAGAGTACTTAATACAGTCATGGGGACCTGTAGTATTGATAGTACTGTAGTCTGAGTAGTATTGTTAAGCTAACGAATATGATAAAAACCAGTTTCTATCAGAACCACGTGATTTGTGTTTAATCAGTTGTGAAAATGCTATTCCGAGTCATACATTTCGTTTTTGGTTCTGATAGCCACAGGCGATAACATAACATAATGAAAGTATAAACATAATGAATGTATAAACATAATGAAAGATAACATAATGAAAGTATAAACAACACGGCATCTTTTGGTGTAAGAATGATTTTACTTCACAAGCAATTAGAGAGAGAGTTAATAAACTATGTTGTTGTATTGCTTAAAAATAATTACCTTAACTATTTATGAATATTGTATGAATAATTGCTTGTTAAAATTTAAAGTAAGTAGATATAGCATGAACATTATTTCTGAAATAGGTTTCATTCGCATATGTATAAATTAAAATGATAGTTATATATTTATATTCAAAGCTATCAGTTACTTTTCACCATCTTTCTGGGTCTTTTGTTAGCTGACTCCATCGGAATTCAGATGGTTGGCTTTCTTGCCACAATTTCTGGCGATCTTTTATGGTAAATAAGCATCTAACTTCTCTGACATTAATTTAGGGTTGTCTTTCATAAAATTAACGAACATCTGGAACTGGCAACTTGTAGTTCGCTTGCTTTGACATTTTAAAACAAAACTATTTCACTAGCGCTGGTACATGACAATGCTAAAACCACATGCTTCACTTAGAAAATGGTGGGTTGCAGTCGCATGACAAAAATACAATATTAACTAAACTGTGATTGGTTAAAGCGTAATAACTATCGATAGCATGGAATCCAGACACATCTTGACTGACTACCTGTAGTGAAACTCACTTAATGTGGAGCACAGAATGCCGATTTGTATAACGTTCGTTAACTGCCTTTCACTAATGGGACTTATTGAATGTCCTGTGTATCGCTCTTGTTGAGTTATCAGAAGAGCTCAGAATAGGTCCCATGGTTAGCTTACACCAGGGGTGTCAAACTCATTTAAACAATGGGCCATTAATGTGACTAAGATTCACGTGGGCCACATTTACAAATTTTTAAAAAATTATAATTTGAAGTGAGAATGCAGGAATATAGATAGGTCAATTAAAACATGTTATGTAGTTCAGCGAATTCAACTCAACAATTATATATTGTTGAGTTGAATTCACTGAACAATATATAATTGCTATAGTATTGCTTTTATTTAAACATTTATTTTAATTAATGTACATATTTATAAAACTAAGATTAATTGTTTTCACCAGAAACTTGCCAGCTCTACAGTATCTTCTTTTTCCTAATTTTCTATATCTGAATGAAAACGTAGAACAATCTTCATTATGGCAGATAGATGTTCATCAGTTAACCCTGATCTGTAAGCCGTTTCATTTAATTTTAGAGAATCATGCAACAAAAAATCACATCGGGAGGCCGCCAGTTTGACACCCCTGGCCTACACAGTTATGATATATGTGAGATTGCCAATACCAGTTGTTTCTGCACCCTATCTCATGTTTGATAGATAGGATTTCTCATTTTCTCTTTCTTGTTCAGAATGGTGCAAGAAATGAATTTTTGTGTGTGTGGTTGTGGTAGACACCGAAATTGGACTCTGTTTACAATCAAAATCTATTTTATTTGAAAAAAAGAAAAACAAAGCTTACAACTATTTCCTAGTTGGATATGACAAAAGAAAAGTCCTGTTTGGAGTATGAAGGCTTTTCACTTCCTTTGAGTCTGATTCTGATTTCTAGTGGGTGTTGGTCTGATAGGTCTTGATGAACCAATGAATGCTCTCCAGGAATGCAAGGTTTGGGGAAGTTGGTGTCTTGAGGAGTCTATTATTTTCTTTCTTTATCAAGTTACATGTGATTTGATTTGAGTGGAAAAGGTGATGGATCTTTGTCAAAGAACATTCACTCAGTATTGTAGCAGAATGCCATATTCCATGTATAGTTTTATTTTATATTTTTTTATATCATTATATTTTCCATCTCAATTCTATCTATTCCCCTTTGTTCTTCATTTCTTTTGTTTCCCTGCTTCTAGAACATTCTAACCAATCTTACTTTCAAGGGTGCGGGCAATGAACAATAGGGAAAAGAGAGCCCTGAGGGCAAAATTCAAGTGGCTAAGACACTTTTTGGCGAGGCATCGAAGAATAAGACATG